CATAAGAGCAAAATACAAACAAAAAGCTCGTTTCCCCTCCTCGTGTTTGAAATAATTACCAAATACAACATCGAACTTTTAAACCTCTATTACAAAAAGTTTCTACTAATTTATTATGCATGATCTTTGTAATCCTTGTCAAGGACAAAATGATCAACTACCTTGCACCGGGCCCTAGATTTCTGGAGATAGTAGACAAGATAGCTGTAGCATTTGACAAACCAGGGTGGACATCATATGACCATCAGCACGAGCAACTGCTTCAGCAACTACACAACCCAGGTTATCGTCCCATCCTTCGTATGTACACATAACAGCCTCTTTATTTACCAGCACAAACCATGACTTCCCACCACAGGAAAAGTCCTTCCCCGTATGACATGTTCTCATGAGTGATGAGACTGCTAGTTGCATTAGCTTTCCATCGGGGGACGCCGATCCATCAACGATACGTAAAGCGGGATGCGGCTCACTGTAGTGTCTTGCCAACCTCAGCACGGCATGACACCATCCTGCTTCACTGCTGTCCTTTGACTCCGGAATCTTGCAAAAGTCTTCGTCGATGTACGCATCTGCAACAAGTTTCTCGTTGAAGATGTCGAAATTTTTCATGTCCACTTGTGCATCAAATGCCTCCTCTCCCTCACCCTGCCCTCTGCCATCAAATGTGCGAAAATGTTGCGACATGATAACAAGGTTTTCTCTGTTGTCACCATCATAAACAAATGACCTCTCAAATTTTCTCTCCACGGCTTTGCTGGGGGTAGGATTTTCTTCCTGGCCAGCGAAATGAGATGAGTTCTGGAGCGTCCACTGCAGGATTAAATCCTCTGCTTTCACATCGTGCTTTGTTACTTTCTCTGAACCGCTATCCCCTCTGAACATGGCCACAACAAGTTTGGTTTGTTGATGATTACGATCACTACTGTCCTCCTCCTCCTCTACACAGCTCTTCTTACACTCTGCGGCGACGAGATTCCAACCCTGCTGTCGCTTGCGCTACCTATCAACCTATGTAGGAGCTGCACATATGGCTTGTGTTGCGCACTCGATTACACAATCTTGAACTAAGGTTGACGTTGCATTGGACACAGAAGGAGGAGCTAAGGAGTATGTCACTGTTTCTCCTCCTGCAAGCACATCTGTAATCACAGGATGGAGGATGCAGTGAATGACATTTCTATCGCATTTACTTCTCCTGGTCAAATCCATAATTTGATCCAGAAGGAAGTACTCAATTCCATAAGTAACAATGACAGACAACTCTGTAAGACAAGCGGGTTGCACACAATTTTTTAAGGGCAACTGCGACAAGGATAACACCTCGGCCGCGCCCGGTTTCAACAGGGCGGCATTGAAAGGTAGCCTCAATTGTGCGGCACGTATCTTCGATTGCAGTTTTTTCCTAAACGCGGTTTTTGTGTACATGCCACCTTTTTGGTGTTTATTCATATCGACATCCTCCTGTTCTGTGATCCAATCCAGAAATGGTTTCTCCGTGTAAGATTGTATGTCAATCGGTCTGTTGAGGTGGGAAACCGTTGTCCTTTCTAGGAGGAGTGAGTGATGCAGCCTGTCCAGAAATACGCTTGCATCCTGCATGTTGTCGAGGTTGCGAGCAACGGTTGCATCGACATCGATATGCACATGAAAATAACGAGGAACCCTTTGTCTCAAGTCCTGCAATTCGACGTCGGAGTTATAATGCACAGAGGGCGTGGCAAACTGCATCACCGTCTCTACCGCAATGATGTCATGTGAGGCCGACATACCTTCTTCCGCCTGTGAGATGCA